ACGACACCTTTATAGAAGGCTCTTTTCACATAGATGTCTTCACACACTTTGAATCAGTGCCCTCTCGCGAGCCACCACACCATCAATATGTTGACGCTCTCCTTGTGCCGGCTGTTACAGTTACCTCAGAATTTAACATCACACAGCACAGGGACCAAGGGACCCCCGCTTCTTGAAGTAAAACCTCCAAGACAGCCGGCCCAGCCATTTTCTAAGACTGACCCCGAAAGTCCAGCACTCTCCACGGATTTCTCTCCAGACAGCTGAAGTAAAGTCATTCTGCCGGCACCATAGGACGAAGAGGGAGAGTATATTATTTAGAAAATGTGACTGATGGCTTTCCTGCCTGCTCTGCCTTGAAGAGAGAGATGCTGTTGATAGATGAGCCAATACACTCCAAGCTCTTTCTTCTTTATGTTTGCTGTGTGTGTTGTGTGATTCACTTTTCTCCCACGGAGGTGATATTTCACCCTTTTGCTGTGACACATCGCTGCAGTGCCAGTCTGTGGATGTCTTCATTAGGTTATATTTCTCTCTCTACATTTTTTTAGATTTTTTCTTTGACTGCTGAACTAAAGACTGTGTCACAGCCCTTTGCTCTGCTATAGAAAGCTTCAGTCACGCACACTGTTTCACTTGACAAGCTCTGAACTGTAGAAAACAGAGTCGTGTCTGAGGTGTTGTATTTAAAACAGGACGCGTTGATTGAGCAATGTGAAGACGAAGTTACTTCATTAAAATGATGCAAGCATCAGAGGAAGGAAAATGTTTATGTGCAGAATAGCTGCAAGTATCATTAACCTATTAACCCTTTCTTTGCTGGGAATATACTGTATGTATCATAATGGAAACCTCTGCCTGAAAACGTTCATCCTCTTAAAAACACATTTAGCATTAATATCTCATTTAATATCTCTGATGATCCAAGTCTCATACACCACCTTTCCCCTCTGCCTGAACCTGAACACAGCGCAGTTTGACAAAAGGTTGGACTACCTGATCTATAGAACTATTGCATTTAGGGCGCAAACCTCCACCAAGACCCAACATTTGATTTGTTAGAGATTCACAGTGTTGTAATTTGATACATCAGTTTTATCCAAAGTTTAATTCTGTCTATTTAAAGGCTTGATTAACTGATTACTTATTTTTCCTGCCTTTATTGTCTTCCACAACTACGCCTCCATCTTCTAGCCCTATTCCCTTTATTCCAATTTGTTCTGGCATCTTAACCACCACTCCTCTGTGGCTGACTGCTGCTTTTTTCCCTCTTTTCTTTCCTCTTTGCCCCCTCCCCTTTCCTCTCATTCATTTCCCACCACCTCCCTTACTCAGCTCCTCTTTACACCTTTGTGACCAGACTGCCAACCTCTAGGGATGCTACTTCCTGTTGATATGCAGAGCGCCTCTCTTTCCAATCAGTACCTCTGAAAGGTTGTTACTAATGGTCCCCAAGGAGAGGAATCAACCTTGAATACATACAAGGCCTCTGCCGGCATTCGGGAGCAGCACTGGCCACTGGAAGTGTCACATCTTGTTTTCCCCCTTGTCTCTGCCAAGGTTCAGTTGCAAAATAATTCCTGTGAAATAGAAATGCAGCCAAGTCATCTGGCTTTTATTGTCCCCTTGGAGCACATAGCACCTGTATTTACTATATCCGAGGATGCAGTGCAGCGTAATCACAAGGATCTGCTACATGAAGATATCACCGTAATTTTAAAGGAAGTCTAATGCAAGACTGTTAAACAGACCATCAAATTATTGTCTCACTTCTGTCTCATGCACCGTGCTGCTGTGTGTTGTAGCGAGCCACTGATAGCCCTGCCTATTTTTATCAGCAAGAATGAGCAGACTGCACAATTTACTGCGATGGGCAGACACAGTCTTGAGCTTCTGAGAATAGCTTGATTATTCTACTGGGAGAAGTGCACGGACGCAGAGAGGCATTCCATATGTTACACTTAACAACCAATGAAGCTGCGATTCAGAGACTTGGGGCAGAAAGAGCTGACAGCGCTCGTCCACACCCCTGGCTTTCTCCAGAACAGCAGAGGCAGGCAATAATCTAACTATAATTAAGGGGTATAAACCATGTCATGCAGCCATTAGACCAAATAGCTGGCAACCAATCAGCTATGACATTAATGGTAGAAACGAACTACAGCTTTATAATTCAGCTTGTTGTAAGACGGAAAATATGTTATAAGAATTCTAGAACTCTGAGTCAATCAACAGTTAAATATCTAAAAATATATTTGAACTCGCGCCGTGTTTTGTTTTCAGTTTAGTCAGACAATCACACTCACTCAAACACTGACATCAACATAATCAGTCCTTTATATATATATATATAAATATAATAAGGTTATGATAAAATACTTTTCCACAATATGTCTTGTTCGAAGAGGTACAACCTTCAAATCATTTCAAAGCTTGGCTTGCCTCCTGAGAACACTGTGATTGTTGACGTTGCTGTCAAGGCGACCGTTTTCATCAGCACCACATCATTGAACAGATAGAACTGTTGTATTAACTCACACTGGACTTTATTGACCTTCTTAGAAATAGATTATATTGATAAAAAGCATCGAATGTAACATGCACGTACAAGTGCAAAGTTTAACACATGATTAAACTGTTCTTTTTCTGCTCATCAGAATAACCTGTTTATTATTATTAATTCTCCTGTCTCAGCTAACAGGGAATTTATTTGGTCAAATAAATCAAATAAACTAATGCAACAATAAGACACATGATTAAGTGAGAATTAAGACATTCTCTGATGGATTAGGAACTGATGGAACATTTAAAAAGATGTGAAGAGATTTTCAAAGATTCTAAAGTGAAGTGAACACATGTTCAGGTTTTCTGAGCCGTGATATTTCCAACAAGCAGACTCTTCATGTGGCAAAAACAAGGGCATATCAGGTCTGAACCATAGGTTGTTAAGATGGACATGACAGCTTCCCAAAAGTGAAGCCAAAGTATCTCAATTTCCCCCAGGTGGCGCTATTGTTCATACACCTCACCTCCACCATGTTATTAAATGGGAAGAGGAAACATCAAGATTGACAGCTGAGACTGACCCGTAATTGGTCAAGCGTGTATTCGTGGAAACTAAGGATGGCCATCACGCTGTTGAGTTTACAAAGTTTACAAATTCGTTGTTTTTACCCAGTTTACAGATGTGTCCGATGACACTGTGTGTGAGTCTGTGTGTTTCTGCATGAGAAAGAGAGCAGGAGGAGTCAGGACGAGCTGAATGATTGAATGAATACATAATGCATCTTCACATGCCAATTAAGTTGGCGTCGTCCAACCTTGGTGGGACTTCAATAACGTGGCTCCGCTCCATGATCACTAATGCGCCGACAATGGCTCCAAATAACGTCTTCTGTGCAAGATGGCAGCATCCATATCTGGTTCCCAGTTCTTGTTTTGCACTTGGTTCTGCATCAGAACTTGGCAGTGAAAGTAGATTCCTTATATAGCTCCTGAGAACATTTCCCATTAGCATCATCAAAACATCAAGTGATTTCTTGCTTCTGCTTGCTGAAGAATGAAGCTGCACAATAGTTTGTGCGCAGCAGTGTGGCAGCTGAGAGGTGCAGTGAAGGGCAAGAACAACATCAAAAGAAATGAAACAGAACTGCTGTCATGGTACGAACATCACACACTCCCATCCTCCGTCAGTGGATGTGATATTAAATCACTTTTAATTTAAACATGTCACTCACAGCCTTATACGCGACACTTTATGGAAACTCTAAAGTACTGAGTATTCTTTTTTATTCCTTATTATAGTATTATTTTCCAGTTTATTGATCATCTAGGTTGTGTGAGGGTTTCAGCTTTGGACCTTCATAGTGTTTGTTATTGAACAGGAGAGAATGTCCACACAAAGCACCACATTTCCCATCTTCTATTTCTGCAAACATTTTGATTCTTGAGAAAATGAATGGGTTCTATTTAATAGATATAAACCAGAAGGTTTATTCAGCTGTTGTACGTATCAGCAGCATCATATTTTCAAAATAATGTACTTTCTTAGTATTTCTATAGTAACTGTAACTGTTGAGTTGTTGTGAATATATATATACATGTTTTCATATGAATAGTGTGCTGAGGTAATTTTATTCATAATGTTATCGATACCTCTATTCATAATAGAATAGAAACAACTTGAATAGGTGTACTGCAGAAGTACAGTAGGAATCTTTCCTATTGTTTCTAATGTCTTACAGTAGTCCACAAAAAAAAATCTGAACTGTTTTATTAGAAACATGAAGCCTTAAGCAATACTAAGCATTTTTTAATAATGAAAGTCGTACTATGCATCTTTGTTGCCAGCAGAACAGACTTGCTTTACATTCACCTATTTCGATGAATTGATTTTACACGGTTTGGCATTGTCTTTGTTCATAATGGGCCACTTGGAAGGATGGCATGTTTACTCAGCAAATGATCAGACAAGAAATTACTCTTAATGGGAACTATGGATCCTTCCCAGCCTCGATCTTCTCATGCTCCCAGTTTAAAGATCTGCTCCTATAGACAAGTGTCTGACAGCAGCAGAATTTACATTAGGTTGGACCGTAGCCAGAGAATTAAAAGGATGAGCTTTGTGTGTGGATATACATGTCATACTGTTCACTGTAACACCAATTGATGTTGTTATATCAAGCTCTAATGTAATTACATAATTTTATACACATCTTACTAAGAATAATTAAATTCAATTGCTGCACTTTTTTTGTTTGATTGTTGTTTGCAAGAAGCCTTTTTCTTTTTTGATTTACGCTTCAACAGGCTTTTTCATTCAAGGTGCATAAGCATATTGAAACTTTATTTCAGTGATATTAGATGTTTAATTTATTGCCCATTCCACATTGAGTTTGTACAAATTGTGGAGGACAGTCTGAGATCTCTCTGAATGCTTGTCATCCACTCTGCATTTTCAGTTCATTCGTTCATTTTTAACACACCGCTATTTCTTTCAGAGTGATCCTGTTCAATAATGAAATGGGTGGGAGGAAGGACAGCGCCCTGGACAGGTCAGTAGTTCATCACAGGTTCAGCACATTCACACTCACTTCCACAGCCAGAAGAGAAACCAGAGAAATTCACTTTCCAATTCACCTGAGAAAACCGGCACCTAGAGGATGCAAACACAAAACAATGCAAACGCATAACAAAAACATAAAATACAACTGGCATGCCATTTCAAACAGCATCTTCCACAGCCAGATGGATAGATTCCCCTCCACCCATGATTTCCTTTGTGTTATGTAAATTACTCCCTGGATGTAGGATTAGTTTAAACAGCCGTCCTGTCTTACAACTAACTCAAAGAAGGCAGTTAAATGAGCAGGAGACGAGAGACAGATGTGTACAGCTGTTGTTGTGGCCATGAAGTTAATGCCAGTGTTTGCAGGGGGAGAAAAACATGCAGGCGTGAGGGAAGTGAAGGCTGTGTTTGTTGACAGGACAGGTAAGCTCAGGAGGCATCATCTATTCCTTTATTAATCTGTGAGCGACTGCACCATGTTAATGAAAAACACACACCTGGCATGGCCATAACTCAAAAGTGGAGCATTACAGTTCCTTATCCATCAGCACTCATGTGTCTCACCTCTGGACATGATATTAGACAACATGTTGTCTCACCTCTTAAAGTAAGTAGAGCAAGTAGGTGAAGGCAAATTTTTGCTCGTCTCAGCCCTGTGCTCTTGGAATGAGTTGTGCGTGACCAATGCAAAAAACAAAAAGAAAACAAAAATCTCCAGGTGAAAAGCGATGCCAAACGGTTTGAATGTGTGGATATGAGACAAAATGAGAAGGTGATCATGGATGTTCACCACTAGGCCTTAGTCACTGATCAAGCAGACTTGGGGTTTGCTGCTGTATAGAGATTAAGAAAATGGAAAACGGCACCTAATTTATGTAACTAGAATTAAATAGAAAATTAAGGAGACAATATCATCACAACACAATGTGATTGTGTGATGTGTTTATAAAAACATGCTATAGATAAATGACAAGGTGTTTCCAGGTCTACAAGAAGTAGGTCAGACTGAGACGGAGCTGTCGGACTACAGAGAATAAATTACTTTACGCATTCTGTGCATGCTACAATTACAGCTTGTGCCGTCGGTCATGGTGTGACTCAGGATGTTGCAACAGTGGGCAAGTGAAAAGGAGTAGGTTATTGTGAGGAAGAAGTCCAGTAACTGGTTGAATATTGGAGCAGCACAGGCAGCCTCACTGCACTAACACAGCAGACGGCTTTGTGTGACAGCTGACATTCTTTTATTCTTCTTTTGCAATGTGCTGTAGGAACAGAAATGACAGCACTCTGATAAATACAGTAGAATTTGTAGTAAAACTAAATATATTGTTGTATGTATAATGTTAATAGCTAAACTTTGTTTAATTCTTGCGAATACGAGAGAGATAAGGATTCAACTTGTTGCTAATTGTTTAAATTGTAGTATTGTAAGGACTGAATTTCCTGAGGTGTTGAATATTTTATAACTTTGGTTTTGTTAGTGATAATGTGATTTGTTAAATTGTGTGAAAGGCTAGATAGATGAATTCAGAACTAATAATACTCTTATCACACATCTTTCTGTTCATGATATTCAGGAATTCAGTGCTGCAATATTTTACATGCTGAACGTGAAGTTCAGCTGCTTCCAGTGATTGGAGAAGATACATAAAATGGTAAAGGGTAGGTTGGAGGGAGAAGTCACAGTCTAGGTTTCTCTGTCTTCTTCTTTGCCACCTCCCATCTCCCACAGTTGTCACCTGGAAGCTTTCCGTCAGCCCCCCTCACTCTAGAAGCCAGAGATGAGTTGTTCAGAGAAATGGCCTCGGGCGCAGGCCTCTACGAACGCTCAGCTCAACAGCTTGGCTGCTTCAAGGGAGTCTCTCTTTGGACTTCAAAAGCTTTCTACGAATGGGAACCGAGTTGGCTTCCCACCATAGGCTGCCTCCATACAGACCCTTTTTAGTTGCTTGGCTTAAAATCAATATGAAAGGGAAGAACCTCAAGCACACTTGGGATGAAGTGCAGAAAAGGAACAGGATTTTCAACAGACAAAAAGTGAGATTGCTCAGTACCTTTAACAACTGATATTTCAAGTTAAATGAAATTTGGGATAATATCAAACCTCAGGGGAGGCTACATCGAATCAAAGCCTGACAGAGAGCTAACAGTCTGGCAGAACAGTACTGATCTCTGTTAGGCATTGTGCATTGAAACTAGAGCCAGACCAATACTGTATGTGGAGCTGATGACGATTGTAAGGAGTAAAAGTTCTGATATCAATGAACCGTTGTTTATATGTATGTACTACATATACTATCCTATAATTGATTGTAAAAGTGAAACAATGAGGATTGTTGGTTATTAACCTTCCATCAATATATTTAACAAAGTTAGGGACTTTAGAATGTTTTCATACCAGCACATATCAGACAACATATTTGCAGATACCAGTTTTATTCTCCGACTAACATATCATTCAGCATCTAACCTATAAGTGCTTTGTGGGATTTCGACAACTGCACAATCCAGAGAAAAACCACAGACAAATAATATTTGGGCAGTGTAGGAATTAAATATGAATTTGTTGTATTACAGTGCTCCTGTCAGTTTTAGTTTGTCACTTTCATCACATTTGCGTCACATACATGTCTGAATCAGCCTGGAAACTGTCTTGAAATTTTATCCTGATGGATGATACTGTTTCAATTTATGACAGGCTAATAACTGCAAAACAAACAAGAGAACACGCTAGGACACCGACACACACACACAAATACTGCAGGTACCTGTAAAACACAAATGACAGGATTCAAATATTAGAGCTTCAGCAAGGCCTGATAAACAAAGTACTCACACTCCCACACTTACTGCAGCACACTGATACACACTGCACCTTAAAATTCAGCTCTGGTAATTGGCTTTAATGTTGTGATTGATTGATGTTTTCATTGAATGTTGCCATTTTAATGGAACTGATATTTTAACCTGCATTAGTATATTCCTACTTTTTTTAAAATTTTAAATGTGGCATGTGGTGACGCTGTTCACTCCGAACTTTTGTTGACTCCAACAAATCAAACCGGCCTCCAGATGTTGCTTTGGAAACGTGAGCGCTCAGACAGGCCAAGGAGCATCTCACTTGGCAGACCAACGAAATGGTAACAGCAGTAGAGTTGACACAGTGTTTTATTATAGTCCTGCGCGATCATCAGGATCATTCATCTGCACATTCAAACTCTTTACTCTCTCATTTGTCAACCCAGTTGTCTGGCTCCGGGCTTCAGCTGGGCTTTTGCAAACTAGCGTGTTGTCTTTGATGTATGATGCTATGATAAGCATGTGTGCAGAAAATATGGATCCGTGTTCATGATATGATTTTAAATATACAGTCTTTGATGTAGATGCAAACAAACAGGTGGTCTGACCGGTGAAAGTTGAGATGTGGATCTATTTTTTCTTGCTAAAACTGATGGATTTTACAGCACCTGGTAAAAGGCTGGATCAGGCGGCTCTGAAATGTTGTGTCTAAAGACATTCACGTGACATCGAGTGAAATGGAATCTCTAAAAACAACGCTCTGTGAACAGATCTAGATGTCTGTCTTTGAGCTACTAGATACATTTGACAGTTCTGGATTTTGGTTTTCTGTAACTCGTCTCTGATCATCGACCTCAAATGTAACAACTCCAGTGACTTCCCACAAGTTGCAACAGACCTGTTGCACTCACACTTGCCACTGCCATCCCACATTGCGTTTTTATTGTTGCTTCTTTAATCCTCCTCCTTCTTTCTTGCATTTGATGTCAGACTAGAGTGCCCGTAGGGTTTGATGCTGCAATTCTCAGTCCTTGAAGAATTACAACTCCAGAACCTCTGAAATCTATCTACAGACCTGTAGAAAAATAAATATTGGTATATTTGTATTGGATTATCGTTCTTGTGCTCTCCAAAAGGGTAAACTGTCCAAAGTGTACTCCTAACTTAGGCTCATTTGAAGCTGGACCTTGCTCTTGCTCCCTGTGACCAAAAACATGAAATATTCTGTCAAGTAACATTGATGATTGTGGCTGTTAGACTGGGTTTTTATATGCTATAAACACTCTAAGGTTAACATTGTGGTCCTGAAGTAAATATTCAAAAACTAGAGTGGCAACCAGAAGAGCTCATAACTCAGCCAAGGAACAACAGTCCTCTTAAATTAAATCAAGCTGCACCACATTACACACTCATTGATATCATTTCCCTAAATATGCCTGATATTTTTCATCTAGATCTATGTAGATTGAATTACTCTCTGGGAAATTGATGTAAAAGTTAAATACATCCCATCTTTTTTAAGAAACTTCTGGATCTGCCAATTGATTCAGATCTGCAGACAAGATATAATGGGTTCTTTCCTGACCCATATTCACATCCTTACACACAAGTACCAAAAGCAAATGGCATTTCCATCTGGCTCAGTAAGATGGAGAACATGGTGATCATTAAACCTGTTTAGTATCAGTGTGTTAGCATTGTTATTGTAAGCATTTTAGCGCAAAGCAGCTTCACTGAGCAGCTACCGTGGCTGTAGATTCTTAGTCTTTGTTGATAGAACTTTTACTTACGTGCTAATAAATGTTGCAATGCTGGGGTCTGATGTGTCCTCCCTGTAATATTAGCACAATTTTCTAAAGGCATTTAAACTTGTTTGTATGATCCCTTTTCTTTCTTTCATTTGTGTTTTTACTCAGTGACATTCAAGTCGACGCCTGGCAATAGTAGATATTGCTGCATTCCACTGAATGAATATATTCCTTTTAATAAAATTATTTAAAATTACCATCACAAATCATATCTCGGTGGCAATGTTCTTTTTTTAATTCAGATTATGCTGCATGGTTATGTTGATATACCACACAATATTAACATGCTCCATGCTCTTTCAGCCCATCAGAGAAATCTCATAACTTAAGACTTCCAAAAGCAGTTTACCAGACGCTGAAGGTCAGTGCAGTAATCTTG